TCTCACTTAGTCAAGAAATTTACAACGAAGCATTGATTTCAATTGAGGACATGTGCTTGATGATGTCAAACAAACTATTAATTCAATTAGTCCTGGCCGCGCACAATCATTCCAATGCATGATGCTTTAACCAAAGAGTTGAATCGAGGAAAACTGTATGATCTCAACACTTTGAAAGAATTAATTCAAAACAAATCTTCCACTGTTGAATGAACAACAGAAGTATGTATTTGATACTCTTATGAAAAAACAAATGATGAAACTGGAGGGATTTACTTCTAGATGGCACCTGGTGATACAGGAAAAACTTTTTTGATTTCATTAATATTAGCAATGATTTCGCTCACAAAATGAATTGCACTTGCACTCGCTTCGTCGGAATCGCAGCAACTTTGCTTGAAGGTGGTCGAACAGCCCATTCAGCTATTAAAATTGCCATTAAATATGCAAAGCAATGAAACTCCGACCTGCAACAATTTCGAAGAACTCTGCAATGGCAAAGGTCTTGCAGCAATGTAAATTAATTGTTAGATGAAATACACGATGCACATAAAAAATCTTTGGAGATTTAGACAGAACCTGTAAGAATATCTACGAGCAATCAAAACCAATTTGGTGGTGCAATGGTTTATTAGCTGGGGATTTTCGTCAAACATTGCCAGTGATTCCACGATCAACACCAGCTGATAAACTCAATGCATGTCTAAAGTCTTCCAATTTGTGAAAACATGTCAAAGTACTTCGATTTAAGCAAGAATATGCGGTGTCGAGTTGCAAAGTAATCAATCTGGAAAGATATTCTCTAAACAACTCATTGCTATTGGTAATGGCAAATTCCTATAGACCTGTTGACTGCTGCATTCAATTTCCTCAAAGTTTTTTGTCAGTTAACTCGATCAAAAGATGAACTTATTCAGAAGGTGTTTCGCAGTATGTTTCTCAAAAGTTGACAGAAACAATGATTGGTTGAGCGAACGAGCTATATTGGCTGCAAAAAACATAGATGTAAATAAATTAAATTTTAAAAATTTAAGAACAAAATTACAGGCGAATCGAATCGGGATATATAAATCGACTGATTTGGCTACTAACCAAGATGATGTAGTGAACTATTCTCCAGAATTTTTAAACTCTCTGGATTTGCCAGGATGCCACCTCACAATCTTCAATTAAAGTTGGATCGGTAGTTATACTGTACGAAAATATCAACCAACCACGTCTTTGCAAGGCACACGGCTTGAGTTAGCGATAAAAAAATACTAAACAACGTGAGTAGAAGCAACTATACTGAAAGGAAAGTATAAGGAGAAGACGTTTCTCATACCGCGCATCCCAATGTATCCGACTGATGTGCCATTTAACTTTAAACGACTAGCAGTTTCCAGTTCGGCTTGCTTTTGCTATGACCCATAAACAAGTCCCAGGGCAATCTTAAGTGTTTCTCACATGGTATTGTATGTTGCTGTTCCCGTGTTGGGAAAACGACACTCGAGATCTGGTTTTTTCTATGTGCCAGGTAATCAAAACAAAAAACATCGTTATATCACTAAAGCACTACAATGAAAATAAAACTGATTTTCTGTTTAATAATTATATTGACATGATTTTAACAATAAAGCGATACTTACTCTCTTCACCACCCCACCTGGCTTATATAATATATATATATTATATATATATATATTATATTATATATATATTATATATGATTATTTTATTTAATTATATTTCTCATCACAACGCCCTATCACAGGGTGACGGTTCTTGTTCAGGAGATTTTTTTTGCCCCAGACTATAAAATTATGTGGGAAAAAAATTCACATTACAACATCTATTTGACAGGACAATCTTCCGGTGCCGCTTAGTATTACTATAAAAAAATGTTTTAAAAAGCATCACATGAAATAATAATAAGGGAAAAGTGGAATATGCTTATTCCTGCAATATAATGCAATATTAAAATGGGTTTTGGTATTTAGCACAATATTGTTGAGCGATGACAATGCATTTGAAGTTTTTCCGTATAACCACACACCTAAGGTTCGTTGTACAGGTGACAACACTAATCGAGCAGCCCCATTGATTGTCGCCTGATTAACAATTACGCAGCCAATGCGTATAAAAAAATACGCAAGTTTTTAATTTCATATATTTTTCCCGTTAAGTTTGGGTGTAAATCTCGTACCAAACTTAACAGAAGTTATCAGGTTGATTCGTTTCCACCATCTTTCGTTTGAAATTAAGATTCCATTCTATCAAACCGATTCAATTCTATAGATCATGTGGGAAATTTCACTTTATAAAACCCGCCAGAAGTTAGACATAGTAACGTAATTGGAGGCACACGCAAACCAGACATTGAATTTTCACACGATACTGCGAGTTACCAGTTCCGCATGACAACAGACTGACACAAAATCTGCCCCCCAAACAGTTTGGATACTTGTAATACTTGCGATAAGGGTAATGGACTAAAATAGATTCCCTTTTTGGTGGATTGATTGCGTGTTAGAAACTGAAATGTTTCACGTGACTTGTTTCAAAACATCCACTAGAGAACCAACTCGTAATTGAGCGGCGACTCCAGAGCGAGACATAAAGACGGCAATCTTCGAATCGAGGACGGTAAAAACAACAAACATGAAAGCCTAATGTTTTTTTGATATCTCAAGAAAGCAGCGTAGAAGGAATGAATAAATAGTTTTTTAAAATGATAAAGTAACGGTAATTTAAAAAAACCGTGACGTGATATGTCTCTTTATTGTTATATTCGTTAATCTTTGTATAACATTGAGTATGTTGCACACTCTACCTTCGTGAGGTAAACATTTTTGTTTCCTAGTGCTAAACTAACATACACGTATTTCTATTGAGAATTCACCTTAAAAATAATATTTGGCGGTGTTAATGATTTTTTCAAAACAAACCGCTCCATTTTCTTGCCTCCTTTTACCCCCACAAGTTCGTGCATGATGCTCGCACGTGAAGCGAATCGTATCACACCCTGCATTTTCGAGCCAGTGCGGAGTAGCGCGAACAGAAAGGAAGAGGATAGGAGGAGCGGGCTTTGAAAAAAAGGAGCGACGGGGGGAGGGGTACAAGGACGAAGCACAGAAGGAGGTTGTGGGATGGCGCAGTTAGGCTAGGAGGGGACGGGCGGGGATGGCAGGTACAGCTCTCGAGTGAAGAGGGTGGATCAGGCGCGGGGGCGAGCGGGGGGGGCAGTTGGGCGGAGGGCGGGCGGACGGAGAAGCTTACAAAATGATCGTGGTTAAGAAACACCCAGGCAACGCCGGGTAATCAGCTTAGTATTACACGAGCCAAAATGGGCGTTCGTGTTCTCTCGCTGCTAAGCGCTCCTGCCCCGACCTAGCGAGAGCCTGTGCCCGTGAGGCGCAGATATTAAATGGTGTAGTGCAAGGCTGCTCAATTGCAAGAATTCGGGCCAGACCGCCTGCGATGACTCGCTACAGTTGCCAGCGAGTCACTCGTCTTTTACTAGACTAGAGACGACATGCCCGAGCCCTTCCGTACCTCTCACGGCGGGCTGGCTCGACAAACAGCGAGCCACTGCGGTAAGTCCGCAGATGAGCTCTGAACTAGAAGAAGCTATGTGGGCCGCTCACTCGAGCAGCCCTGGCCCAGTGATGGCATTCTTCCCAAGCCCCCACCTGATTATCCAATAGGCAAGGGTACATCAAAAAATAAGAATTCGAATGAACATGAATTGTGCTTGCAAACCAATTTAATAATAGTTGGATTTGTTTATTATTATTATTATTATTATTATTATTATTATTATTATTATTATTATTATTATTATGACTAGTGTTAGCATTATTGTTATTACTGTTATTATTTTCAAATAAAAGTATTAAGCATCTGATGTCAAATCCTTAGATGATCTCGTTCTGTATTAATTTTGTGTAATTCTTATGAACCAATAATGAATCCTAAGTATCCTTTGTTGCTAAATTGCTAAGTTGCTTTGTTGTTAAGTTGCTAAATTTCACTCTACTTATTTTTAAATACATTACTTACAGATTTATAACGAAAGAAGCGACGAGATCACAGTAAATATTGACGATTTCATTATCCCGTTCTGTGAAGTCAGAGCCTGAATCAAAAAGGAAATATTGGTCACTGCCGTGGTGGACTGTATCAGCGTCGCCGCCCATTAAGCTGCTCGGCACACTGTTCTCAGCGGCGTATTCAAACGAGAAGAGGTAGGAGTCCCCTCCTCGCTGTGCGTTGAGCTGCGCGGTGCGTTGTGCAGGGCCCTTGAAGAAGCCGGCTCCAGTGAACTACGCAACACAACGAAAAAAGCAATTAATCGATCAAACATAAAGGAGTTATTTGGGGTTAAAATAGCTGAAACTTGTTATTAATCATGTGTGTCAACAACAGCACTTGTCTACTGATATTTAGGGAGATTAAAATCTACATTAATTGTTCAAAAGAAAGGCAAGTAACCATACCAAAATTGGCCTAAAAAAACTCGTGACGGGTATTATTGATAAAGAAGTTGGTATATGTATATGAAGTACAATATTTATTTCTGATATGAAATATTGTAAATTGGTTCATTTAAATTAGCATAGAACTAAATATATTTCATTCATTATTTAGTACTATTATATCTGTGTTTGCCACGTAAATTGCGTTATGTTAAAAAATGGTGAAATTATATTTTGTCTTAGGTGTTTGTAAAACAGTTAAATTTTCTTGGGAGTAGAAAGAGATAACTCTTCGGCCACTTTTTCACAGCGCTCAGCGGTATTTTTGGTATGCGAGAAAAAACACAGTTGCAGTTTCAAGAAGGCATGATATTAAATCTTTTATGGTAATTACATGTAAATAGTATGTGGCACGGACCATTTTGACATTCAATATTATCACATGCTGATAATGGGACGAATTTGAAAAAAATAACAAAAAACACACACACACACACACAATTTGTCTGTTCAGATGTTATAGAGCAATGATTGTCTTGCAATGCAAACCTGCATCAAGCAACATAAAACGGGTGCAAAATGTGTGTGAACGCAGTTTAACTGTCTGCAGATTTCGTATCAAAATAAAGTTGATTTGAATTCCCTCCTCTTGGTCCATTGGATTGGCATAAGCAACTGCGAACAAAGGTCCGTTGCATCATGAACGCGATAAGCCCCGCGCCTCACACGCTTTAGGCTTCGCTGTGCCCCCTCCACCCCCCACCCCATCCCCACACACAATCATCCTCCACCAGCCTCCGTGACGAAGTGACTTTTTGGACTGAAGCATGGGAAAGCCCCTGTTACGATTGTAAACACGGATTGGTATCTGTCCGAATCGTCTTAATATGTGCGTCAAGGAAAGACAAGACGTCAGTAGGAGAATGTGTCTAGCGATTTCTCTTTAAACGACTTCCTTTACATTCTAGTTTCCCTTGATACCTCTGACCGACGTGGAATTTACAATACAACAAAAACCAATGAATTAGTACGACGCAAGTAGCCATCATCGAAAATATTTTAAAAAATACTTTAAATTTAAATTATTTTTCGTTAATTAAAAATATTAAATTAAAAAAGTATAACTTTAAATGTATTTAACTCATCTTACGTCATTTACAATAACTTCATTGCTATATTTTCTCAAAAATTATTTGAGTAAGTAACTTTATACATCAACCGGGAAACAAGAGTAGAATGTCTATTTTTCTGAACATCACCCATACTTATGGGAACTAATGATATTAAATAATTGTACGAAAGAAGAAATATACCCGTAGTTTGATGAAGATAAATACCATTGTTTTCCTCTCTCGACATTCCAGAAGTAAGCATCCACACCTTACATTGGAATCGAAGGAACATCCCTTAGTTCAACTTAGCACGGTATTCGTCGTAGTTGTCTGAGAAAGCTGGATCAGCGAATGATAATGATAAACTTACAATGTTTTCTAGGATATTAAGTGATTGAGGAAAAGAAGCGAACGTCCACATGTAAGATATGACGCAAGGCGTATTCAACGATATTCACATTTGACGTCAGTTGTTAAGCAACAACAACAAAAAATCACTGCGAATACTGCCGTCGCAAAAAAGTCCAAAATATCGAATGAAATGGTGATTCAATGTTCAGTCTCATATAAAATTTGGAAGTTGGTGTGAAATAAAAAAAAATGCCTGAAAATATTCCAAGATAAAAATGAATGTTGGAAGTGATATTTAGCGAGAATTGTAGAAGTAACTGAAACGGCTGTATGGAAAGAAAGTCTTCTTACCATAGTAGTCGTTTAGTCTTCTTAGTCGTTACAACATTCTTTATTTTAATCTTGGAATGTTATTTGTCAATAACAATGGACTATAAAAAAATTCTATTAAAAAAATTAGAATACTAGTTACGAATTTTGCCATCAGGTATAACGTAAAAATATAACAATTAATCGAATTGGAAAATTGGATAAAATGTTTTCATTACCAATGCAATAATTCAAATTCATATATAAACCGAGAGTGAATATGAAAAAACGAATGGCGTGAGTATAGGAATGAGTATATAGCGCTGTTAGGTTCTTATATGTAATTCCGAATAAGTGAGACTTATCTTCTATTATCTAAAACTATTATCTTCTTCCCCATACGTCACATATATTTTTTTCTGTTTTTGACCACATAAATCTAAATCTGAACTGATACATGACTGATAAACACCATGAATTACAGAATGCAAATTGTTACGAGACATTTGTTATTCATTAAATTCAAATATTAATGAAACGATATTAATATTTGAATTTAAGAATTTTCGTGTTAGATCAGCGATATTCATTATAATTTGAAACAACGCTGTTTCACCGTTGAATTGCATTTTATTCGGTTAAGAAATATTTACACCAACTGAGAATATTTACAGCGGTAGTTTTCCGTGATTTCTCCAATCAATACATCACGCGAATACTAGAGCAGTACCCAAACAAACGGGCCACGAACTGCGCGCGATCTGTTCTGCTTCTTCCTTGTCCTATCTTCACCCCTTACTCACTTACTTACACTATATTACACTATCTCACAAGTGCAGAAACTACAACTTCCAAGTTTAGACGTATTCCCTTTGCAAAAAAGTTTCTGTATCCAAATCTCTCAATCAACAAGCACAAAGTCTTTCAATATATAAGTACATGTGTCAGTGAACGGTGAATAGCTTACCGATCACGGAGAAATGTAACATCTGTAACTTCGTTATATTTCCTACTACATGTTGACTTGCTGTAAGTGATCAGCTTCAATCCCCCGACATACCCTAAAAGTTTGTACCGTTGTTTTCTCTCGAAACGAGACACTATGATTTACTGCATTTTTTAAAAGAAAGATGAATCTTCATTAGAAAAGACTTACGTCGACCAAACCTGCGAACATAGCAGTATAGTTCCCGATGACTTCTTCGGAGAAGTAAAGTCGTTTTACAGCATCGCCCAGCGTGAACAATGTATCTTCAATATCTGTAAGAGAAAAATACGATACAGCTTGCTTCAAACATGCCGAGTTAGCCTCTTGTTTAGCTTCTAGACATAAATGCAACTTCACATTAACTTGTCCCCATAGCACATCACACACAGTTTTTAACTGTTTCTGATGTAAATAATAATAATAATAATAATAATAATAATAATAATAATATAATAATAATATTATAATAATAATAATAATAATAATAATAATAATAATAATAATAATAATAATAATAATAATAATAAACATAGACAGATACATACTTTTTTGAATAGATAGATCACTTTTCCTACAAGATGTATCGTAAAATTGAAGATAAGTCGTTATTTCGAGGTGACAATCTGATAAGAAATGAGTGCGGGCAGATACTTTGCTAATGCTTTTGTAAGTTATCAAGTAGTGCGCCGTGACAACCTCTCTGATGTTCTCGGAAGATAAAACGTATTACAATGAAAGTAAAATTAAACCTAGGCGAGAAATGAAAACATAAAACAAGGAGAAAATTTAATAAACCACTTGAAGAATTTTTGAGAAAGGTATTAGATTATGTATTGTTACAAAATTGATACAGTTTTATTAAAAATCACTCCAAAACTACAATTATTTTGAAAACACTAAATGTAATCATACTTTGTACTAATATTAAACAATAGACTGCATTAGGAAACATAACGTTTCGCTTTAAAAGGTCTCATGAAAATCGTATTTTTGCAATATTTATAAACTCTCTTTCCTATTGGAATAACACATGACATAATATTTTGATGGAACAGATCCTATAACTTTCAGACGTTTAGATTTCAGAAAGGAATCGTAAGCAAATCTCATCCATCCTGTAAGACTCTCTTGTACGATTCTAATATAAGAATTCTATCATTGGCTGGCCTTTGATCTACAAATCAGAAGTTTGTCAAAACTAACTTACTGAATGGTGGAAACATATTTTTAACCAATACAGACATCTGTAACTACTACAACACTCGACGTAATAATCGTATTCATCAGGTATCAGTATGAATATCTCACTAGAAAAGCGTCGCATACAATTAATGTAAATTATTTTACAACACAATGCCAGATGGCATTAAAAAATTAAAATCGATTCACAAGTTTAAATGCTATTTTTTTCTGCTGCAAAACTGGTCTCTTCATTTAGAAACTATATTTAGAATCAAACAGGTATATAATACTGATTTTATCAATGATATTTAATTATTAATAGTATTAGTTACCATTTGTACTGCGTAATTCTAAACTAGTAAACACGTCTGAAAAAAGAATTATTGTACCTCATCTTTTGGGACAAGGACCTGCATCTGAATAGGTTTTTCGTCGTTTCCTTGAACCTTTCAGCGAATGCTGAGATGGTCCCTCGTTTTTCCTCTGGACATAGTGAAGCTTTGTTGGCTGGGCTATCCGGGACAAGCCGCGTCAATGTCATGGTGGCTAACGTTTCGGCCAGCGTATTGTGGCCTTCTTCAGAGCAGTACATTCAGTACGCTCCCGGATAGCCCAGCCAATATAAACTCCGGCCGCGGAAGCCTACGCAACCATAGTGAAGCTTTACCATCTATGCATGCTTTCTGGATCTCATTGGGGAATGTAATTATTTGAATAATCGTTCTCGCGGCAGAAGGGTGGTTCAGTCACAAAGAACACGATAAATATTTGAACATTTGTTTTCTTTACAAATAGTTTTTCAAAATTCAACTTAATAAGTGTAAGAGTTAGAGCTGTCATCGCAGAGCTCAAGATACCGTGCACAGATCGCACTTGTCCGCTTAATATGACACATACAGGTTTTAACCGTTTTTGGCTTTAAATAGATAGTTCAACAAGAAGTTTAAAGAAAAGAATCAGTAAAAATCTCCCTTACTGAGACAAATGCTGGATCATGGATATGACCCTGAAGAGCTCGGTGAGCGAGTGTATGGAAAGAGGCGAGTGAGCATTCGATGAGCCGCAAGTGCGCCGCAGATGGGCGTCTTCTGAGCGTGCGGTACGTGCCGAGTGAGGGACGAGGGAGCGGGAGAATAGCAGCAGGTAAATAAAAGAGTTGGGTTGGCGCCGGGCGTAAAGAGAAAGGACAAAATTCGGCAGGAATGCGGGAGGAATGCGGAAGGAATGCAGGAGGGCGTTGGGTGAGCTGCGTGTGAGGGAATGGTCATGCCTGAATGTACATTAGGAACCAACCTTGATCTTATCTCGTGAAACTTCGGGTTTCAATTTACATTCGCCGATGGTGAATGGCGTCTAAGCGAACAGAGGGAGTTGGAAAGAAAAAAAAAGGCTAGAAAAAAATGCGGAATTTTTTTTCGTGATTCGGCCACTTTTGAGCTCCAGTTAACTATAATAGTAAGAATATAACTAAAACTGACTTTCATTCATTTTGCTGTAGCCGAATAAGTTAATCAAAGAAAGTGTAGTGGAGCAAGAGCTTTTAATGTGTGAACACAATACATACACTGACTTCTGTGTGGTTTGTAGCATTGAATATAAGTATCTGCACGATTTTAACATAACTATCTTTTATATATAAGTATTTTTAGTTTATTTTACTAATTGATACTGGATTTAGATGATACTGATAGAACCTGTACAATTGAGCTTCTGTGGGTTTTCCCTACTCACGACACAATAACGGAGTCACACTTTATAGATTTTGTGCAATTTAATTGCGTGGGTTTAAGTCTTATTGTTTGTTTACCAAACGTTTAGTAGTATTAGAATGTTTACCCACAATATCGGGCCTTATTGCACTGTTTAAGGCATACCATTACGAAGCCGTTCGAAGTGGGATTCCATAATGAGACTGGTATTTCCTCTATTATAAGGAAAAGACAATGTGGGAAATGTTCGCACGAGTACAGTTAGGCGTATATAAATAATATCAACCATTGAAATGTTCATTTTGAATACGCACAAAACGTACGTGCAGAAAGAGAAAGGTATACTCACCAGAAAATTCTAGCATTATATTCCCGAGTTCCTTGTCCAAAGTTCTTTTATCTTCTGTCAGTCCTCGGGCTTTCATGTACATCAAATCCATTTCTGGAAAGATAAACACACACAGCGGTGATATAGAATGCCACAGTCTTTCTCGTACTAGTTAGTTTTCTAATTTCTATAGTCTCCGCAATCTTTACAGTCTTGTCATATGTGCTTGCCAGTTGTCATCTGTTGCCACCCAAAATACATTTTTTTAAAAATATTATCAATTTTTCAGTTTCCTAATGTTAGAACCAAATATTACTTTCAGAGTATTAAAGAGGAATAAAACTTCGTTATATAAGGACATTTTTCTAAATACTTTGGAGCTGTTTTAAAGAATATGGAGTTTAAGCGTTACTATAAATCCAAAATCTCAAACTCTTTTTCAAAGAAAACTTTTGAGTTTTATAAAATCTTCATTTGAAGTCATGTGAAGCACTTACACCCAAAAATGCAATATTGTTTACTAATATCTGGAAATGTGAATATTAACGGAGTGAAAGATGTTACAAAAATATTACATTTGTGTAATTTAAAACAACAACAAAAGAATACAGCCAAATGAATTTTTTAATATCTTAAGCAGTGCATCAGCACTATCCGTATGAAAAAATCGACGAAAGAATTTGCGGTCGTTTTTGAAAAAAAGGCGTTTGGCTTTTCTGAAAGTACGGTTTTCTGAGCTCGTTTTTACAGAAAACGTTTGCATTTTAGAGAAACTTTATAAGACATCACTTAATGCACATATACTCTTCAATGAAATAATGTTAACAAATTAGCGCTAACGTAAATATTAACGTTAGAGAGATGTCAAAAACTACATTTTTGAATTTTCTGAAAACAACAACAACAAAGAACATAGAGAAATGGTGTTCATGTCATTTTATATAGTACATTTAGCTCTAGCCAACCAAAAGTTTAAAGAAAAAGTTTCGAGACGTTTTTGAATAAATATTGTTTTTGTTATTTTTAATATTGCTAGAAAACTGCCAAAATTTAAAAAGAAGGTACATGATATCATTGAAAGAACTAATTATGGAGAAAAAGTTTACATAAAGGAAAAATTTATCATCAATCTTGTAGTTGTAGGAAGACGCCGAAATAATTTCAATCTTTATAATTTTCAAAAATTCAAAGTTATCGGGGAAATTGGATCTAAGCCATCTTCATAAGTGTATATCAATCTATTCTTACAAACATTTTTTTAAAAAAAGTTTTGAGGCATTTTTGAGAAAATTTTGAAAATGTCTCAGGGCTTCAAGTGAAGTATTGCATTACATTACAAGTAAAACATTTTTGATCTGTTTTTCAAAATCGCACAGCTTTGTTTCAGGCCAGATCGACAGAAGCTTATTCAGTTTGGAAAATATCGTACGCATAGTAGGCGCTAGTGTTGTTCACATACACCAGATGGACAGACGTTAAAGAATACTTTTTCGGTATCAGGACAGCCCGAAATTTGTATTTCCGTTGAAATCTCGATATCGATTTACCGCAGCATTACAGAACTTTCCTTATACTACGCATATTACTCCGTATACACGACCGTATACGAGAAAGTAAACTACTGAGGCTACAGAATAGCACAATTTCTCGTAGTAATGTGTTCTAATTTTCTTGGTGTGGACTAGCTTTACGGTCTTGCCCCCATCCCCTTGATGGCTGCCATCTTTGGCCGACCTAAATTCATTTTCTGATTTGTTTCAATTTTCGGTTTCCTAATAGTAGATTAGAAATATTACTTTTAAAATATTAAAGAAGAGTAAAATCTCTGTCCTATATGGACATTTTCATTGAAAAATTGTCATTTTCTTTTTAAGAAAAAAATTGTTGAAGCTCTAGTGTACAAATGCGAATTTGAACTCCTTTTCACAGGGATCTTTTGTGTTTACGAAAATCTTCATTTAAAGTAATTTGAAGAACTTTCACTCACAAATGCAATAATGTATGCTGGAAATGGGCTTATGAACCACGTGTGAGATATTTCAAAAAAATTACATTTGTGTAATTTTTTAAAATACCAAAAGAATGGAACTGTATAGCATTATTTTATTTTTCAGAGTGCATTTATTAATATTCCTAACATTAGTTAAAAGAAAAAATACAGCTGTTTTTGAGAAAACCTTGTGTTTGTAATTTTATTCAATTGTAAATATTGCGCGAAAACTACTAAAAGTTTCAAAAGCATGTATATGACCTCAATGAAAGAATGAATTATGGCCAACAAATTTTATTTGAAGAAAAAAATCTTCATGTTTAATTTCATAATTGTAGGAAGACGCCGAAAAAAATTCGAACTTTTAATATTTTCGAAAACTTAGAGTAAACACTAAAAGTGTGACCTATGTCACCTTTGCAAGTGTATTTTTATTCTATTCTCACAACAAATTTAAAGAAAACCTTTCAAGCCGCTTTTAAGAAATTTTTGAAAATGTCATTGGGGTTTCATGTAAAGTACCTCCAAATATTAAAGAATGTGTTTCTAAATACCAAAGCTTCGACTAGAGCCAGATGGACCAGGAGATATCCATTTTGGAAATAATCCTTCGTATGGGTTAGGTGCTACTAGTGTTCACAGACAGACGGACAGACGTTTTGCCGTCAATTGGTTTTTCGGTATCAAGGACCTACAAAAAAGGGATTCTGGCTCCACCATGTTTAGAGATTTTTTGCTTTAATTTTCCAACTAGATTTATCCACTTTTTCTTTATCAAGGCCTAGTAATGAAATTGTTTCTTCCAAAAATCCACCGTTTTTTCGCCCAGCAATACTTAACATTCTCTATACTACGTATTTTACTCCGTACGTACGAATACGAGAAAGTTGAAATAGCTATAGCTCAACCCAGAATTCCCATACGTCTAAATATTATAATGTGTGAAGAATCACCGGGTAAATTTAGCTCAATGCCTTGCTGAAAGGGGGTTCTCAATGGGTTTTTAAACAAAGAATGTATTAGTTTATAATTATAAAAGACATTTTAATATTAAGTTTTAAAAATAAAAAGATCGAAGATTATAGTCACATTCAGTTTGGGAACATTTATTCAATATTTCAATATTATTAAGGAGTGCCATAGTTGGGCACGTTTAAACCGGCTTTGTCTAGAATAGATACTGTTGGTCTTGGCTTTTAAATTCATCTCTAATCTTACATTATTAATGATGGAATAACCTTACATCATGGTTTGACTTAATATAATACCACTCTTGTATTATAAATATTGTTTTCCATTGGGCTGAGTCACTATTTAGTAGGATCTGTGTTTAAATTCATGTTCGAAAAATTATACTCTGATACGTTTCGTTTAATGTAGTCCAGTATGTACATTAAACAAACGTCTGATGATGCTACAAAATTTAAACATCTATATCCGTATCCACCGTATGTTGATTTACTAAAATTCAGAAGTATGCATTCATTTGCAATATTTATGCTAAATATTTACTCTAAAATTGCTTATATTAACTTAATAAAACTGCCTATATTATACATGAAGATTATCAGATGACATGTGATAGCTAATGTGATAGGTTCGTTCAATCGAATCATGTTTTCTTTCTTCGCAGGATCATGAGAAAGATTGATGCTTTACTTACGTGTCATGAGGAAGGTGCCTTCGTGCTTGGTGACTCCAACGAGAAGTGGTTTGCCCTCGAAGTTTTCGTCCATCATTTCTTCCAGTGGCGCCCGAGGAAGAAGAGGCGAGGAACTGGTTGGATCTAGAGACGGGATGACGCCGCCCATCCCATGGTTCATGAAATATGTCTCGTACACCTACGCAAATGCATCGCAATTACTTTACCAGAAATACAGTGGCGAGGCGTCCTCTCTTCTACAGATGAGCGAGCATCTATAGATGTCATCTATTGCGATGACAAAACCAAATTAAAAAAACAACAATGCATTTTCAGTATTTTAGAAAAGAATTTAATATTAGTAAAAATATAGTTATTTCAGTGGTCATTGTTAAAAAGAGCAGGGAAATAAACGAAGAACATGCACATTTTCTCCAATATGATTGCATTGAATTGAGAGCTCCTCAATGCTCACGGTGACGCATCCAGCTGCTTCGTGACGTTTTGCTTTGCATGGCGGTAAGCATTCCACTAAGCGCTGTAGTCGAAGAATCTCAGCTCATATACCGAATATTGAAACGAATTTTGAGTGTCTGTTTTAAAAGAAATGAAACTTTTCAAAATAAATCCCCCAAGAAAATGATACAGTTTTGAAAGAAGAAATGTTTGACTACCTATTTAAGGAAATTTTCCGTTTAGCTAAATGAATTGAATGAACCATACCAGCTCCAATAGCATTCGTCGTAAGGAGTGTTTCTCCTTCAAAAATAATATTGTACCTAATTATAATAGATAAAGCCAAGAAAAATGAATGTGCAGCTCTCTTTTCTATTAATTGAAACTTGGAATTCATTGGCGAGAAAGGTAATTTTTACAACAGTCATTGAAAAATTTTCCTCAGCAACAAAACGGTGGGACTCTATATTTAGTAGGGTTATTAGTTGAATATTACCTATTTCTATTATAAATTCATGAATGTCAATATAACGGTAACATGACAGCTTCCGAATGTCATGCAATACTTTAGAAGAGCAATGTTGAAATGCGCAAAATGTTGAAAGTGTAACCCAAGTTGGAGCCCGTGGGCATCAGCGACGCAAATTCTGATGGTGACAGCATGTTTTTAAATTATTATTATTATTATTATTATTATTATTATTATTATTATTATTATTATTTATGTTTACAGTCGGTAGCCAACGGGTTGACTCGTGGGTGGCGACAGTTCAGATCACGATTGTTTGGATGCAGTGTTTGTCTCCCCCCTTTCCATTTCCAACAACCTTTCGATGTGTGCAATGCTCCAATGGCAGCCAAATCGACTGTACCTCCATTTTGAATGTTCGTGTTGAAGGGACGCACGTAAAAATCATAATTAATAATAACCGAATATCAAACGAATTTTAAAAAATTGTTTCATATCACATTTATTGGACTGAATGAATTTTTGTTTCGCCGTCAAACCAAATATTTCTAAATCAATCTCAATTTCAATAGTAAATAAAGGCTTAAAAATGAAAAAAGAATCAGAAAGTTGAGCGTAAATTCGAGTATTTAAAAAAAACATAACACCCAACAAAATTGTGTCACCCTCTTCCCCCTCCCCGTCGCTTCAGAAAGATAGACCTGAACACTGGACAAATGACCATGATGATCGCGCGAAAATGCAACGCCTCGCCACTGCACAAATACATTCATGCATAAATTATTGCCAAAATTGTAAATATCTGGATTTGCCTTTCTGATAGAGCAATATAAAGAAGATAGTACTGACATAAATTACTAAATAGTACTGGATGAAATGTAAACTGAAATAAAATCACGCACATATTTTCACATTTTTATTTCTTTCGCGCCACCAATAGTTTAAAGAGACGTTAAGAATATTTGATAAGAGAACAGCGTCTTTTAATATGAACATTTTCAGTAATTGAGGGCCCGTTTTGAGAAAAGTGTCATTTGATCGTATCCAAAACTGCACCAGTTTGAACTTATTTTCTTACAAACTTTGAGATTTAGAGATCATTTTACTCTCCAATGATAAAAAAAATGCATTTAAGTACAAATTACACTTGTAAATAGTAACGACGTGTGAGATTAAAATTAGTTCTGTGCAATGTTTGCAACCCTTAACACCCTAAACAACAATCGATTCATGGCAAGTCAAATGTTTGTTAAGAAAAACACACATACACACACATGGCGATGTACAAAACAAATCAAAATTCAAACAATTTAGAATAAAATTAATTCATGATGGTTTTGATATAATTATTGTTAATAGCAATAATATTAATAGTACAATTAGAAAAATGTATATTAGGTAAATTAACCTCACTTTCCTCGCATTCCACTAAATGAATCTCTATTTTTGGTAATCATATTTACTGTCGATATGAAGGCGTCTGGCCATTGGAAGTCAACTTCCTCATCGAACGTCGTTTCTTTAGGTATCTGTAGGTTCAGAAGAATTATTTGCATCCATCTATCTCGAACCACCCTATACGAATATTATTTATATACTAGATATATCTCAAGAAACACCCCAAAATACCGTACTAACGTGCTACAGCAACAAAATTCACGTGTTTACTATCGCAGTAATGTAAATTTTCACATAACTGGTGATATTTTATGGTGACCGATAAAATGCTGAACATACCACGAAATGTTAGTGTTACTACTGGATTCTTCAGTAAGACCACTCATACTAGGAATGTTAATAGCTATAACATCGTTAAATTTAATTTCGTATAAACCAGATTTTTAGAGAAATTAACATTTAGAGATTTTCAATTTCGGTTTTGAAAAATGTCCTTCAGTCTTTGAATGTTTGGGTATGTTTTGACGATTTTAAGCTTAAAGTATTTTAGAATACTCTGAAATTTTTACAGTTTCGCGTCCAGATGAACAATAAATGGTACGTTTGGAAAACGTTGAGACTTTTTTTAATATCGTGTAACTTCTTTGATTTTTCCCAATTCAAATATATTTTTCATTTCCGTTTACTGGTGGGTAAAAATTCAGAAAAAATATACAGCTTACGTTTTACAACGATCTAAAACTGTTCCGTTTTTCCTGAACCATTTTTTACGGTAATATGAGTAAACATTTGTGCTGTAGAACCCTCTTCGTGGAAGATTAGAAAACTGTGGCCCATTAAAGGTCTTATTGTATTAAACAGACAGTTTTACTTCTTGCTTCCAATGTTTACTCTACGAGTGATATTCGCACAAACACAATTCGTATTGCACTGCCAAAATAATATTTTGATCTTCCGCTGATTACGCAGCTCCCACGATTAACAAGAACAAATGTCGATAATTGAAAAGATTGCCAGCGCGATCTTAGAGGGGATCGCGGCTAATGGCAAGTGACAAAAATGCCACTCTTTGTTGTGATCAGTTCCGTAATTTGGATGGAACTCTTTCTTGCGAGTACTGCTGCATTTTTCTTATGCATTTCCCGTGGCATATTTTAGCTAGTCAAAAAGATCGGTTACACATCTGTTACTAAGAAACATGTTACTCCCTTTACATGTCCACAATGTGCGACCTTTAAAATTAGGAAACTACCGTAGGAGACAGACATTTTATAAATGGTTTCTTTGTCAGCAAGCACAAGTAGAATAAATGTCCAAAAAGAGTTAGTTTTGACGTATCTCTACCGATGGTCAGAAAAAAACTTGTAATACGCAAGAGAGAAGGCATTAAATTGACACAGAGTTTACATCTGGTCCGGCATTATTGGATGCCATATGATAGGACCACGTGTGTTGTCAGCGAATATGATTTCTTACAAATTTTTATCAGGGCCTTACCGGAACAATTAAATGTCAAGGTTTGCGCATCTCCGACAGAGTAAAAAGGTAGATTGAAAAGATTGAAAAGGTCCGGTCCTGTGACTTAGGTTACCAGATCAATCCCCCTGTTGTTTCGGATCATATAACATCTATTGGGTATGTGTTCAATAATTTTACGTCTATGCACCTTTCGTTGCCTGCAGATGTCCCTTCACTCGTCTTATTCTCTCTTCACCCCGGGACTTATTACTCCAGATGCACCCTCTTTGGTGGAAATCGCCCGGCTGCATCCCGCAGTTAGGTATCCCTCATACCCGCTTCCCAGCTAATCCGTCTTTACTTTTCGATTCCAGAGATGGGCATAGCCCGACTGCACCTCGTTTCGTTCCTCCTGTGTTTCGGAAGGAGTAAAGATTGTTATTATGATTCTATTCATAATTTGCGCAAATTATGATCTCACACCAGTGCAGGGAAAACCTTTAACACATGTGACTACGGCAGAATTTTCGGAATTGTATTCGTTAAATCAGCAGGGTAAGATGATGCTCGTTACAGGAAATTTCATGTTTTATTTCCACAAACTTTTAACTGTTGTAGCTTTTTTCAACGTTCGCATGGCTTTAAAATGACGTGCAAATGTGTCTTGAAAACAGACAGAAGTGAAAATTATAATCAGTCAGTATAATACTAGGCACACCATGGAGAATGTAGAAATCAATCTTTAGACTAAGGAGGAAATCGAACGGGATAGAGTTGGACCATGTCTTTTTGGTGAGGTAGGTAATCGTCTTAAAAAATAGTTTTTGAACACGGGATGCAGTCAGTATACAGCCTACTTGGTATCTACCGCTTTCCCTTTTTCTCTCGCCGGTGGCTCGTGTCCCTCTTTTATCTTTGTACGTACAGTTGGACAAGCGTAGCTCGTGAGCCCATCGCCCCTCGTTCTGAATTAGAGACAGGGCGGCTGAATGGGGCTGCGCCAAGTGGTCGCGATCTACTATTTAAATAGAAGAGATATTTGATATTTTAGGCCAAGCGAGTCAAACTACGCCTGCACGAGCTACTTAGCCGCCTGGGAAGCCTGCGGGTCTGGGCAACTTCCCCTGCCCCCTGTCTCATCCCCCTCCAAATCCAGAGAGGGGTGTACGAGCGAAAGATGTAGCGGGGATGTTAAGCGCAGAGGGTGCTTGAAATATCATGACGATTGGTAGTTTCAAACGAAAGCATGTCTGTCGGATGTTTTCAATCAACCGAGTTTTTAATTTTGTTTATTTACTTTATTATTTATTCCATGTTTATTTTCTTTTATATTTTTGCCTTCTATAATAAATTTGACAAGGGGGAGATATATTTTTGAATGCTATATTCCTTGCCATTTTTGTTTTTGTTGTTTTATTGAATGCTTTTTTCATTTGTATGTAGCAATAATGTGAAATAAATGAACGAGTCTGTATGTAGCCCAAACCCCGTCTTAGCCTTTATTATATCGCTCGAAGAATCTTTCTTCCTAACCTGAACGTAGGACGTCAATGCCAAACACCCTTAAATGAATGCGATTACTAAGTCAATTCTAAATATTTAATTTTATTCGCAATTATTAAGTTCAAATTTCAGAGATGTATTTCATTTATTAAATTATCAATGGAAATTATTATCACTTAATTTGAGACAATAGCTGTCAAATAACTTCTCTAAAAGACAGTTTATGGGCCAGGAATCCAGAGATGTACCGCCACCTACAAAAATTTGTACAACCCTTACTTTTAATTTTTTATATGTACATGTTTGTTGTATAATAGGTCGTTTTATTTATTAATTCAATTAGTGAACAAGAGAACACTACTGTGTAGGAGACAATGAAAACTTCTACAACTTCATATCAAATAGCATCCTCTAAGCACGATCCGATGTTTCACACATTACACTAACGAAAATGTTCCAATAATAACTGAACATCTCATTTTTAGACAACGATTCATTGTGTTCATTGTTAGAATAAAAATATTAACTATCCCCAGTTTTATTAACGCGAGGGACGCGAGGAACGAGGGAGAAACATCCAAACTAGAAAGTTGTTTTCACGTGTCCCTTAGTTTTAGTAGTGACAAATCTCTGCTCATTCCGCCAAATCGAGCACATTATCCTTCGTATCCCCTCTCTGATAAAACATTCCCTGAGAGATCGTAGAAGAGGCATAAATCTAAATGTTTGTCATCGCAGAATCTCTCCAAAGTCGGCGCTTGTTGCAATGAACGACCACCACCAGACCCTTGAGTGGATCGCGCTCACCGTCCAGATGCCCCAGGCGCGTTGCAGCGCAGAGGTGCTGCGCGTGCGCAGGCACTCGGCCAGGTTGTCCGGGCGCAGGCAGCCGGCGAACACCCCGACGCCGCGCGTGCTGCGCCAGGGGTCGGCGTCCACCGTCCACGGCACCAGAGCGCCGCCGCTGAACAGCGCCGTGCCCGCCAACAAGCCTGCGCGCGACCAACGAAAACATTACATTCTGGCAACAAGGGGGGGGGGATTATAGTCATTGATAGATGACTCCGGGCGTGTCAATTGCTAAGGTCAGGGGTCGTCCATAAATTACGTAACGCTAAAGAGAGGAACGGGGGTTGAGTCAGCGTTATGCTGACTAGGGGGTAGGGGGTGTTAGTTAAGTGTTACGTAACATTGATTTA